CTGGTACAGAAACAGCTATCGACCTGTCGCTGTGCTCTCCCTCAATAGCAACGTACTTTGATTGGACTGTTGAGGGCGATATACACGACAGCGACCATTTTCCAATTAAACTGTACACCACTTTTGACGCAACCGCTGACGAAGTTTTGCGATCCATACCCCGCTGGAATTTACGAAAAGCAGACTGGGCCAAATTTCAAGAACTTTGTTATGTGAACCGTGACTGTTATGAATCACCAGAGCAGGGTGTTGGCCTTATTACACATATTATTCATGCTGCAGCAACCGCGACAATTCCACTGACTAAAACCCAATCGCGCCGCATCCCAGCACCATGGTGGACGACCGAAGTTAAGAACGCTACTGCGCGTCGGAAACGTGCTTTCCGCTGCTTTCGTCGCCACCATGATGTACCTCATCTTCTTGCCCGAAATTATGAGCGTGCTCGAACCAGACGAATTATAAGGAATGCCAAACGTCATTCTTGACGAGCATATATCCAGCAGTTCACTGTTGCTACTCCTCTAAGCCAGCTATGGGGACTGGTTCGAGCGCTTTCCGGAAAACGCACCTCTATTTCATTGCCCACTTTACACATTAATAACCAAATCATTTCGGCAACACCACTTATCACCAATGCTCTTGCTGAAAGTCATTCTCAGTGTAGCTCATCCGGAAATTACCAACCAGGATTTGTGGAAACTGCGCAAGCCCGTTTTCGTTTACATACTAATTGTTTTGCTTCCGATAACACCGAAGACTATGATTTACCGTTTTCATTTCTGGAACTACAAAAGGCTATAAAATCCGCCGGCAACACCTCAGTAGGTCATGATCAGTTACACTATTCTTTTTTCGTAATCTTTCAGAAGATATGCTTCGTTTTATATTGGCAGTTTTTAATGATTTGTGGTCAACCCATGTCTTTCCTGACGCCTGGAAAGACACCATCATTATTCCACTTGCAAAGCCAGGAAAGGACACCAAAGATCCATCAAATTATCGTCCCATTGCACTTACCAGCTGTCTAGGAAAACTTTTTGAGCGGATGGTGGTGAAGCGAATCTCTTAGACTGTAGAACGAGACTGCCTGCTTACAAAAAATCAATGTGGTTTCCGACACAATCGTAGCACAATAGACCATATCATCAGACTCGAAACTGACATCAGACGTTCTTTTAAACATCGACACCACACAAATTCTGTATTCCTGGATATTAGCCGAGCCTACGACATGGTCTTTAAACCTGCACTAATTTTCAAGCTCCATCAGTTAGGGTTTAAAGGCCATTTGGCACATTATCTTATTGGGTTTCTTTCCGGCATCAGACCATTTCGTGTGAGATGCGATCCGCCGTTTCCGACACTCACCACATAGAAAACGGCCTCCCACAAGGGAGCTGTATCTCACCAATTCTCTTTAATTTTATGATAAACGATTTGTTTGACTCATTACCAGCGGGCATTTCCTCTTCACTTTTTACGGATGATAGCGTGATCTGGTGCTCGGACGCTGAATATGACCATTCGCTGCCACGGCTCCAAGCCGCCCTAAACAAGATGCAGCAGCGGTCAGAGCGATACGGGTTCCGTTTCTCCGCTCCCAAATCTTCAGTTATGATTTTCAGCAAAAATATGCGTGGTACTCCCAATTTTCGGCTTCGACTAGATGGACATTACATTCCTTTCGTTTCGTCTTTCTAATTTCTTGGCATCGTACTTGACCCCAGATTATCGATGCGACAGCACGTGGAGCATGTTCGCTCCAAATGCCTAAAACGATTAAATTTCTTTAGATGCATTTCCGGGTCAAGATACGGTGCCGACCGCCAATCGTTATTACGCCTATACAAATCCTTAGTTCTTCCCATCATCGACTATGGCTCCGTGGTATATGCAGGAGGCAGCCAACTCACTCTCAAACCACTATCCACCATACAAAATATGTTTTTGCGAGTTGCCCAAGGAGCTCTGCGTACTTCCCCGATTTCAGCGCTTGAAGTGGACGCTCACGTTATGCCTCTTGCCCTCCAATGAATGGAACACACATTGAGATACATAACAAAAGTGCGACAAAATCCCAATCACCCAGCATTTGAATCCATACATATCTTACCTCACATTCACCATAACTACGTAGGACCGGCAGAACGTCGCTCAAGACTTACAATGGCATCTCGAACCACTATCTACTGTACCAATCTTCAGTTTACTTTACCGCCTTCTTCCGTGCCACCTGCTTTAATAGGACCACCATGGCAGTTAACCCCTCGGAAAGTTTTGTTTCTTTTTGATGATCCCAAACGCTTTTTCACAAGTTATGTTCAACGAACATTTAATCGTCTAATTTTCAACAATCAAAATAGCAGCTTTGTTTACACCGATGGCTCCAAGGCCAGTAACCACACCGGATGTGCAGTTATTTGCACTGAGCATTACCATAAAAATTGTCGGTTACCGGATGGCACCTCAGTATATTCGGCTGAATTATTTGCTCTTTTCCTTACATTACAAGACATTCAAAAACACACTCATACAACGAAGACAATAATGATTTGTCCGGATTCAAAGCCAGCTGTACAACCTCTTATTGACTCAGATTTCACACACCACCTCCTTGTTAAAATCGTCAATCTCTATCATATATTACACACACAGGATATGAATATCAAATTTCTATGGGTTCCAGGACATACAGGCATCATGGGCAATGAACGGGCTGACCAACTAGCCAAGGAAGCTTTGACAGACCCACACATCATGGAGATCCCTGTTGATCATGCATCTACAAAACATTCCATTCGCACAATGACAAACATTTTTGGCAACAACAATTGACCGATACTACCAGAACACAACTTCATGATATCAAACCAGACATTACCCCTTGGCCATCAACGCATCGTAAAGACCATCTGGAGGAGAAGGTGCTGGCCCATCTATGAATCGGACACACTACACTCACACATAGTTACATATACTTCAGTCGGCCTAGTCCTCACTGTCAGCCGTGCGATCATCCACTTTCGGTTAAACATATTGTTGTTGAGTGCACAAAATATCAACAGCACCGCAAAGACATGCAGGCCTTTTGTCGAAATCAAAATATCGAGTTTTCTTTGAAAAACGCGCTTGGCGATGACCATCCTGAACTGCTTAACATTGTCTTTAACTTTCTCAGACTAACCGGCTTGCTTCAATCTTTGTAAATGTCAATAAACATACCCTTTTCTTCACATACATAATTACACCAATTTGAAATAACATCATCTAGGCGTGAAATGGTCTGAACTGGCCGAAACGTCTCAAACAAATAAACAAATAGCGCTAATATACTTTCAGACTAAGTGACAGTGCAGTGTTCTTTGCTCTTCGTGATCCGTCCCTCTCTGAACGCGTTTTCCTGTCTGTCAGCCCGGGCCGGCATCGCCTCGATTCCGGCACCGAAGTTTCAAACCGGACCAGCACAACCAGCGCAGAAGTGCTAGTCCCGGCCACCCGGCCGCAACCAGCCGGTTGGCAGTCCGGAGTCCTGAGGTGCGGGTGATTACGCTTGTGTTGCACCGCACGGGGGCTCGGGTTGTTAACTGAAGAAAACAAAGGGCAACTAATGCCACATTTCTCTTTCGTCGCCGAATCAGTGACGTGTGCGACAATATCGCCAAGGTAGTTTCAGGTAGACAAATACCCAAAAATATTTTTACATGCCAATAATTTGAAGATTCAGTGTGATTTGGTCAGGCTCAAGTTTCACATTACAATGTGAAGATTCAAGCACGGATGTCTTGTTGGTGTCCAGCGAAACAGACTATTTTTTTCTGATTGGATGCAGACATTTTGTGTTACTATGGCTTCAGTTAGAAAACCTGTGCATCACTTCGTATCACTGTATGCTTTGTAGTTTGTCGTTTTGTACATTTATTTGCTAAATTCACTAGCAGATTAATTAAAATAGCCAATCGTCCATCAAAACAGCGGTACATAAAAAAAAAACACTACTGTATATTACAACGTGATGTACCATATAGTATAAGGAAAATTACTGGGTATGCACGTAGAATTCCGGGCGGTTACACTCATGGCCATTACAAATGTTATGGCACGCAATACCTGTATAAAACCAGACCAGGTCTACCCGATTACACCCAAAACTTTCCTCTGTGAGCATGATCAGACTGCAAGGTCTGCCCCACGCAGGGATAATCAGTCAATAGCAGCAGAACTGAATCCAAAGAAAGACCCACACAAAATCCAGACATCCCCCAAGCCCTATAGTAATGTGATGCCGAAGTCTAACCTAGGTTGTAGAAACGCGTTTTCAATACGTCACTTGTGCGCCGGAAATGTGGTGAAATATGGCGAACCAGCCGGAATCGGTCAGCACCATTCCTCACGTTGTTTACATGGGTTGCGTAGAAATGCATGTACGAAAAAATATATGCGCTCTGTGTGGTATCTATGCGTGCTAAACTCCACCACTTTTAGTCCAAATCGGTACTAAACACGGTTCCCCTCTCAGTAAGGATACGTACTAAATATTCTCGAGGATGTGTTGTGATATTTTTCGCATTTCAAAATTTGATTAAAATGCTCTTGTAAGTCGAGCCAATTAATTACAAGGGTTTAGCCGCACCTCATGATGACACATAATAGATCCAAGAATCTTAGAAAAAAGCAAGAAAAGGCAGAAGGTATATATGTAAGATATAATATATATATATATATATATATATATATATATATATATATATATTATATCTAATATAATATAAAGGTACATATATATATATATATATATATATATATATATACGTAATAGGTAGAAGAACCCTAGAATCCTAGAATAGAGCAAGAATAGGGTAGTAGAACCCTAGAATCTAGAAAAACCCTAGAGATGGGAGCACCCTGGTTGGCACCGATCCCAAGGTTTGTATTACGCACAGTGTTGACGTAGGTCCATTCGGGCCTCGCTTCGGTCTGTGGCGTGTCTGGTTACGGAGATGAGGGCGCTGCAGTTTTCTCAGCCGGAGCGGCGGCTCGAAGTGCACGAGGTGCCGTGGCCAACCGCCAGCGCACCCAACGATGTGGTGGTGCGTGTGTCATACGCCGGTGTGTGCGGCACCGACCTGCATGCGCTGTACGACACGTTTCCGGTGTCGCAGGACTGGCTGACGATGGGCCACGAGCTGAGCGGCGTGGTAGCCGAGGTAGGCAGTGGCGTCACCACCGTCAGTGTGGGTGACCGCGTCGCTGTGGATCCCAACAAGGGCTGCGGCTCCTGCGAGTTCTGCAAGCTGGGACAGGTGAACTTCTGCCCGCGCGGCGGCATCTCGGACACGCTCGGCTTTTGGCGTCCGGGCGGATGGGCCGCGGCGACGGTGGCGCCCGAACACAGCGTGCACCGGCTGCCGGACGGCCTGCCGCTGTGTTCAGCCGTGCTCTGCGAGCCCCTCTCGTGCCTGATCCACGCGCTGGATCAATTCGAGCCGGTGCCGACGCAGGGGCGCGTGCTGATCCTCGGCGCTGGCATCATCGGCGTACTGGTCGCGTGCATGCTGCACCACCGCGGCGCGCGTAACGTCACCGTCAGCGAGCCGGCGGCGGCGCGCCGCGCCGTCGTGGACGCGCTCGACCTCGGCTTCCGTACGGTAACCCCCGACCAACTGGCGGCCGAGTTTGCGCCGCTGACGGAGCGCCAGCTGGCGGCGGGCGGGCTCGACATGGTGATCGACTGCAGCGGCGTCTGCTCGGCCATCGAGACGGCGGCTGGCTGGCTGCGCATGGGAGGAAGGCTCTGCCTGTTCGGCGTACCGTCAGCTCAAGAGCGTGTGGCGCTCAGCCCGTACCTGTTGGTGACGCGGGAGATCACGGTACGAGGCATCCTCATCAACCCACACACCTTCCCGCGCGCCACTGCACTGGCGGCTGAGCTGTATCCGCGCTACCTGCGCCCGGAGAAGGTGGGAGTGCAGCTCTTTACGCTGGAGGAGTACCCGCAGGCGTTGGAGAAGCTGAAGAGCGGCCAGATCTGCAAGGCCGTCTTTATGCTGGACGGATCACAAGAGTAGCCATGAACTGAAGGCCAGCAGAGAGGGGCCACAATAACGCGCCCTGCAAGTGCCACTCGGGCCGTGGAGTCCGGGGACGCGCGGAGTGGGACCCGTCCGCCGAAATAGTCTAGGATGCGGGGTTTCTGTCATACGCTGGGCTTCTCAAGTAGAAGCTTCCCTAATTAAGGGTTTTTGTGCCCCGTCACTGGACGAGCCGAGCCAAAAGTTCGTCAATGTGATAGGCTAGAGTTTGGTGCTCCCGGGTTTTCGTCCTCTTGAAGTGAAGGTTTTCGTGATTGGATGCCTTAACGCAGTACCTCTCGGAAAAAAGGTTTTGGCGCCCTGAAAAGGGTTTTGGACGCCTGAAGAAGATTTTGTGCCTCCTCAGCGAAAGGGCCATTCTAAAAATTTGCCAGAGTGGGAGGTGAAACATTGTTGTGTTCCTGGAATTTGGTGCCCGTGAGAGCGAATGGTTTGTCATGGTGACCTCTTGGAAATAAAGGTTTTGGTGCTGTGAAATGCAGGTTGCGGTGCTCTTTTGCCGATTGGGCCAATCCAGGATTACGTCAAGGGACACGGTATGGACATTGTGGTGCCGCAGCAATTTGGTGCATCTCGACAATGAAGATTTAGGATTTTATTGTGCCTCTAGAATTTCCTGCGTCTTGAAAATAAAGGTAATGATTCCAAGAAATGACAATTTGACCGCCAAGGGGTGGTCGGGCGCGTATCATAGCGAAAGTCTGCATAGAAGAAAGGGCGAGGTCGCTGGTCCGTCGCCAGCGTGGCGCCCAGCACAGTCCAGGCGGATCCGCGACCCCGACACGTGAGGATCTCGCTCACGCGTCCAGCATTTAGAAAGACGGTCTGAGTGGTAGCAAGGTCGCAATAAAATGTCTTACCAAATCGGTAAAGCCGACGGTGAGGAACGAAAGTCTGGTAGGACCTGCGTGAATGTGAAAGGGAGATCTGAGCCTCTTATTCATACTGTGCGGACCAGGGGCGGATTCAGGATCTCCTCAACGGAGGGCCCGCGCTTCACTGTGATGCACCTTGCTATTTGTGCCCCCTCCCGGACTTGGGAGTGAAGCGAGTGCCCCCGGTCCTGCGGCCGGCTGACCGGCGTCAGTTCACATTGGCGCACTCTTCACATTGTCTTGAGTACGAAACCCAGGAATCTGAAACATTCCGAACCCTAAAATTGTGGGGCATCAAAGAAAACGAGTGCCTCTCACGGCTTTTCACAACGCATCAAAAATCATCACCGCTAATCAGTCGGTCCCAGTGGCCCAGTTGGTTAGAACGCCTGCCTTCCGATCCAACTGCCCGTGGCGGGGTTTGAGTGGGTTTAGGGCGTCCGTTATTCGCCCTTGGCCGGTGTGGTATGCAGGCGGTGGCAGTGCTTTCATTGTCCTGACCAGTGTATTTACATCAGCGCATTTAAACATTCCACTGCAGGCAGGAAGGTGCTGCAAAGCTACCAAATTGTCAAAGTTTTTTACCTGCGCTCCCAGAGCCTACTGCTGTATACTAGGGTGTTTCATCGAGGTGGTGGATCTCTTGGAATCAGATGAGACAAAATTTTTCCTTGGCACATGGGTTGATGATAAACTTTCAGGTCTGTCGCACCGCACCCATGTTGAAATTCGTTAGGCGAGAGCAGTTTTTTATAGGCCAAGAAAACCGCATTCGATATTAGCGCCACCTATTTTACACACAGGGATCATCCTCCAACAGGCCTTATAGCTGTCATGTTCCACACTACTGGCAATTGGCAGATAAAGTATGAAATAATATCATGTGGCATTAGGTTAGGTTTACTTAATTTATGCACTGTTTTCTTCCACATGAAATGCACAAACCTGGATTTGGCATAGTACTGATGACAGCTATTTTCATCCAGTGCTCACATTTGCTTTCTTGACATTTTGAAACCATCACTGGGCAATTTTGGTCCACTCATTAAAAATAGTTTACATTCTGCACTGACTGCAATGATCTATCGTCTATATTTGTTGATCCCTTGCATCATGCAGGAATTATTGAGTTACCTATCTCACACACATTAAAGTGACAAGCAAAAAACAGCCTGACTGCATCAAAAACAAATATTCCAGCCCCCGCTTCCTTGCCAGTTGGTCTACCAGTGTGACGTAACTTCATATTTCCTTGACGAGCCAGTCACCAATATCCAGCACATCCCTCCTGCCAATAGGTGGTCAACCAAATGTTCAAGTCACAGGAGGAATGTCTGCAAAATCAATCCTCGGGCATTTACATATTCACTTAATGAAAGAAACTATTGGTACTCCCTGCAAGAATTGTTGAACCGTTGAATTATCTACCTCATGGCCTGCAAAGACACCCATCACAAAAAAGCACCAAGGTGACATATTTAATCACCAGTACAAAAACAGGTGATGATATGCGACACAGACGCATTCTCCATGCAGCATGTGCCATCATGTTAGGTGTTAGTTTATGCACTGTTTTCTTGCACATGGAACACACAAACTTGGATTTAGCAGAGTAATGGTGACAACTATTTTCATCCAGTGTTTACATTTGCTTTCTTGCTGTTTTGACCCGTCATTGGGCAATTTCGGTCCTACCATTAAAAAAAGTTCACATTCCCAGCTGACTGCAATGATCTATATTTGTTGATCTGTCATATCATGCAGATATTTTTAAGCTACGTTTCTCACACAAATTAAACTGACAAGCAACCAGCATCCTAATTTAAGGAACATCTGCAAAAACACTCCTGGGGCCTTTCGGTATTAACTTAATGAAGGAAACTTGGAGGCATTCTCTGCAAGAATTTCGAGCAATCCAAAAATTAAAGTGAGAACAAGTCAAAGCTCTATAAAATGACCATGTTACCTCCATCTGGTTTTTGGAAGCATGGAGCCTGCCCCAGATGTAAATTAATCTAACCTTTAGGCGGAAAGATAACACCAAACACCGCCGACGCCTGCTGTCTGCATAGATCAAGCGCCTAACAAGGCTAAATTACGTGAGCATTTCTGTGCTGCTAGCCACTTAAGGCCCTCAATAATAAGAGTAGTTATAGCAGCAGGGTGTCAACTTCACCTTCTTTCTCTTTTCCTTTACCATCTTGGACTTGGACCGTCTCGAGCAATAGCTAAAAACCCGTGGAAAAGCGGCAACACCAAACAAAGCTGAAGTGGCCATGAACAGAACTGCGCGCACCAGTCATTTTTCTTTTTTGTTTTGTTTAGACAGCTGACGGCCGATAATTCGAACGAAATCTCTTCCCGAACGGATGATCCTCTCACGGGAAGGGATTTCCTCCGGCGCACGATTCGAATCAGGGGAACGGCGCGTGGGTGTATACATGGGCCGGATAGTTCGGATCGAGGACGGGTCCCGGCTCAATTCGAATCACAGCTGCCCATGTAAACAGGGTATATGTCAGGCGGGCCGAGCGTGCGTAGCGCATTTGTTGATGTGTGCAAGCATTGTATTGCGTAAGTTTGACATTACGTGCGCAGGTGAGAAACTTTCCAATCTGGTTGCCTTACACACATTTTTACTAGGAGCGGAATTTTCACATATGCTGGAATCAATACGCCTGCCGGAATCGAGGCCATGTTCGATCTGTCGTCAGCACGTTTGTCAGCAACAACCAAGACCCGGTATTCGCCCTACGTCACGTCACGTGACCGCAAAGTCACGGGAACTGTGACCTCACGCGCCGGCTAACGATGATACAAGGAGCTTTGCCAACCCGTCACCAAGGAGAGAAAACGCTCACAGATGAAATCACTCTGATAAAGTGCGAGATATTGATTTGGTAGCTCTTGCGTCGGCGAGTACGTTAGGCGGGATGGGGGCACTTGTCTATTATTTGGGGAGAATGCAACGTAGGATATACAAGAAGGATATTGAACTGCCGAGAGAAGCCATGAAAAGGTGAGTGGCAGTGATTGGTGTGGTGCGTGGTTGCGTTCCCGAATAAATTAATTACGTTATAAGTGTATACTTGAAATGATAATGGAAGACATTGAAGTGAACTGGGAACGGAAAAAAGCACTCAACTGACGGATGGGGTAGATGGCGGTAATATTAGAGCAGGATCAATACTTCCAAACGCCACTTTGTACGTAGGTCGGCCGGTCGGTCATGGTCGGCGGTAAGCCAGAGTAAGTGTGTGGACTGAAGTAAGAGGTAAAAGAAGAAGGAAAAGCAAAGTTAAAAAAAAACTACCCTGTCAGTCCGCACATTGAAATCTCCGTCAGCACACATAACGTCGCACATTCCAGCTGACAATCGTTCTGACGACCAATCGAACGAGCCCAGTTAAAAAAACAGATCTAACGGGCCCCGAGGCCCCGTTCGATCTTTGATCTTTGTGATATTTATACTTTTCCATGTATGCTTTGCAGCGAATTATTGAACCGCTATGACGGATTGCAGCACTTTTAGGCAGTTTTGCCGACACTGCCATCGGTTGTGATGTGTGACAGTGTGACGCTATCAGGCAGACACTAGGACGGTTGGGAGCTGGATATCGAGTGCAAATTGTATTAAGTGTTGAAAACATCGGAAATGCTAATTTGAATGTTCAAACATGTTATAGTGGCAAAGGCTGGTACGTAATGTGCAGCGTGTTGCAGGTATCGTGCGATCTTTGTCTCGGAAAGAAGCAGTAGCGCTGTAGCATGTATGGAGCGGGTGGAGGGACTCGATTTGTACCTGTGATTTGTAAAATGATTTGCACCTCGTTTCTCTCCATACACCGTCATAGAGTTATTGTTCAATGCTACTCGAAGTTGAAGGGGGAAGGGAGCGCCTGCCCCTCTAATCCGCTGTACGCAGGAAAAACCACTGATGCTCTGACTCCCGTTTGGTGCTTTACATTTAGGAAAGGACGGAACATTAACGTTTGACAACTCAGAGGGTTCTTTGTGCCGTTCGGGGAGCCTTGAGTCGATAGGGGTCTATATGACGGCATGACCTGAGGGCCCGCTTTCAGAGCAGCGACCAAGCTGGAG